GTAATATGGATCTTTCTCCAGCAAGGTATCCCTTGCATACTGTGCAGTATGTGGATCCAAAGTGGGGAAATGCTTTGGATCTCACCTGATTGTATACCTGTAGTCAGCTCATCAAAGAAGACCTATCTCTTTCTTGGTCTTGCATGGTAATCATGAGATCCCATTGAAATGAAGACTTCTTTATTGGTTCAGGTCAGGTTAATGAAGCATCTTTCAGGTGTTCAGCTAACTGTGATTGAGAGATTGATTGACAGATTTTCAGCATTTCAATTTCCAGAAACGTTTCTTTGTTTGCTTTCCTCTAGCTTTAGATTTATGAGTTTGGGGATAAACAGATCTGAAATTTTTGCCTTGTTACTTGAAATATGCCACATTTTCTGAAACTAGAAACTGGATAAAATGTAGAATTAAGTTTCTGAAAAGCTATTAAATATCTCCATAAACCATGATGTGGTTTTGCAACTTTAGCATGTCTCAATGAATTTTGAGGCTGACTTATTTAGCTAACCTTAAATTAAACAACTGTTTTGCTTTTGGATGATATGTGAAATTGAAATCACTTAAAACATGAAAAGCGTATTAACTCTTCCTGGATATATAAGATATACATCATATCAAGGGTCTTCAAACTTGGCAAATTTAAGACTTGTGGACTTCAACTCCCAGAATTCCTGAGCTATCATGACTGGAGGAGGAATTCTGGGAGTTGAAGTCCAAAAGTCTTAAAGCTGTCAAGCTTGAAGACCCCTGATCTACATCTATATATAACTTATGTCTGATCATCCATGATTGGCTAAATCAAAAATTCCCAGGTGAGAAACCAAAATTTCTGTTGCTCCTAGGTATTGGCCAGCTCCAACATTAAGGACTTGTTAGTTGTTTTTTCCGATATGTAGTTAAATTAGTATGGGAGCCTGCAATTTGTTTGTTTGGTTCTGGGAATAATTCTTCAGTAAATAACTGATTATCAAGTTGTTTTTCTTAAGACTATACCCTTCATGCAGTGAATTAGTTAAGCTGCTAAATTTGTACCAAAAAGGATTAGATAATCACAGTAGCAATTTCTCATAAGTATAATGAAGTGATAAATAACGACACTTCTTCCTTGAGTTCATTGTAAAAGCAATGTCGTTAAAACAAGCAAAAAACAACCCCTTAAAATATACCTAGTTGTATTATGGAGAGTGTTACAATCACATTTCTCAATTGTTAAGAAGACACTCTAAATGCAGTATAAATTCTGTAGTGCACAAAAAGATTTAGAAGTGAGTCACACCTTCTGTGACTCTGAAAATAAACGGTAGTTTTCTTAAGAGGTTTCAAATAGAAATGAACTTCAAATATTTGCAACTCTTTTTTTCTGGCTCATGTTTGAATCCTGAAAGGCATCATTTGTGCTTTAATGAATAATACTGAAGTGCTGTGCTTGTTCATATCTGAAGTTCTTCTTCTGCAGCTTTGGGAATAATATCAACATGTCCATCTCTGTTAATTTAAGTGAAGTAATGTAAGCAGCAACCTCCTTTAATCACATAATGAAGAACAAGTATTAAACTCTTGGGTTGGATTGTGATCTTAACCAACCTGCCTTCATGAGCTAACACAAAAGAGCTCAAACAAACGGCACATAAGTAAGAAATGAGAATGCACTTTGAATGCACATTATGAAGATCTTTGCTTGTCCTTTGCTTCCACAGACAATTGACAGTTTCGCTCTTTGATAGGGCAGCAAATTATTGATCTCTCAGACATTTAACAAGATAGCAACTGAACTGATGCTTTAGAAGAACTGCCAGGGCACAAAGCCCTGTACTCCTGGAAACCCAGTTGTTGGACTAAAACTCCAACACTGTAACATTTGGAGAGCTTTTGATCTCCCAGCTCTGCCAGGGAGAATATGCCTTTATATTTCCTTTGTACAAAATATTTTGTACAAATATCAACAAAACCTCTCTGGGTAATTTTAAAATGTTCCCTCACAAATAAATAATAGGGAGTAGAAGATGACTGTTCTAATCTTAAGAAAAATAACTGATTAATACAACTGGCTGCCAATCTTCTTTAAAAAAGCTATTTTTTGTCCTAATTTTGTACCATGAATGTATCATTGAAATGAACGACAAATGAATTACACAAGTTTTTCTTGCATTCGTTTTATAAACTGAGCTCATCCAACTTTGAATGAGAAAAACTCCATGCTATGTCTTCATTTGGAGCAATAAGCCTGTTGGTCAAATGGTTTTCTACAGTTGTCATACCAACAAAACTATTGCCTTTGGTTTGCCTCCTCAAGACTTTTCCTCCAGCTTCCTCTTGTGTAATCTTTCATTGCAGAACATTTCTTACTCAAAGAAATGAGTAAAGTTTCCTGTCTCCTTTGAGAAAGTGGAGAAGGTGGGACCTCTGGCAGATTCTTTAGAACCCCTAGCTCTCCGGTATGTGCAATTTGCTCCTTTTAAAACTCAAATGCCATTCTGGTGTTTACTTCAACTGTAAAATAATTGTTTGGAATTAATTATAGAGAACAGGCATTTGCTCACTTTTGTTGTTTTCCTTTTTTCAAAGATCAGTGTGACTTCCTCTTTTCCTTCAGTTTTGCAGTGCAGATAAGTAGTGAGAAGATAGGGCATGGCCCGGAGAGAATTAAACATTTTACATTCCCACTGATTTCAAGGAGAGAGATTTAAATAAGTCAGCTTGTTTGAAAAGGGGCTTATTTCTGAATTACTGCCTTCAATGCATGTATTGAAATCTAAGGACAGAAATCTTTTCCTCTGGGTTTTTATCCTGCTCATTGGACTCAGATGGTGTTTAACTTTCATAGTGAAATGTAGAAGAAATGCTAACAGAACAGTTCAGGTATAGAATAAAGGTTTTATTACTGCAATCAAAACAAAGTACAAATGAGTATAGTCTTTGTTGTCAGAATTTGCAATATCGATAATTTGCTTTTAAAATTCTGTCTGTGCATGCACTCGTGTTTTTGAAAGATTGTCTACTATAATTGTATTTATCTGGAGTTGTAGCTTATGTTTTGTGACATGTTTGGCTGATTGGGAAAAGGTTCAACAACTGTGCATTAGAAACTTTGCTTAGCTTTATAATGTGATACATTATTATAATATGCATAGTATAAATATAGAAATACAGCAAGAACAGCAAACCAGACCTCACCTGTCAGATTGCACAAAAACAAATTTACACACAAAAGGGCACATCTCAAGCTCTCTTGAATTCTGCTTCAATTGTGGGTTGCTTTTCCACACTGTTTACCTCTTAGCCTTGACCGGAGGTGTTTCATACCCATCATTTCAATGTTCTTCAATTCAAGCTAGGAGTGAAATTATTCAGAACTCAGAAGGGGTAGGCAGCCTGATATGTTTCTTCATAGATCCTAAGACATCTCATAACAACTGTCCCGAAACTTTATATAAAACTACCTGTAGAAGTTTGGATAAACTGGGAACAATGTTTGTCTCCATTGCCGGTACTCCTATTCCTTGATTACTCCAGTTGCTAAGTTAAATATGACTAGTTCAAGGGAGGGAGGCAGAGAAAGCTTGCCTCCTGATGGGAAATTTAGCTCTGCTTAATGTACTTTGCAGAAGAATTGATTACAAGTTTCAAATGTTTTGGCACATTTACAGGAATTAATTCTAAAAATAAAAAGTGTGTGGTACTGTTTCCAATCTTTCTAGTTTTCTTTGAGAAATTTCAAATTGGACCATATTATCTTTTGGGGCATTCTCAATTTTATTTAAAATTTTAAATAAGGGAATAAGAAATGAGGAAAAAATTAAAAGTACAGAATAATTTTTGCTAATCAATTCTAACAGGATTTTAGTGTTCATTTTCCTCTGGTTCTATGCAATGGTACAGTGCAAGTGGTTAATTCAGTTTTTTTTGTTATGCGTCAGATTTATTATTTCAGAACGCAATGAAACTGAAGTACATCATTTCCACAATGGTATTTGAAAGTGTGGAAAAGAAGATGAGGTGCAAAAATCATGCAACACAAATGTAGCACAAAAAAATTCTGAAGAATTTTAAAATTAAACATTGTTTTAGTCAGATTTGGTCTTATTTTTATTGATATTAATGAAGCAATCTGCTATAGAGTGCTCCTCTCTATATTCTTTTTTCAAGACATAAATACTGATGTTTTGCACTTCTGCTTAAGATTGCAAACATACTTAATATTTATAAGTATTTTATATCTAATTATGCATGGGTTTTTTTTTTTTGTTATGGCCTTTTGTCTAGTTTCTATTTTTTAGTCTTTTTTTCTTTTTTCTTTTCTTTTTCTTTTTAGTTGATAACTACTTAATTACTCTGCAAGAAACAGAAAAAGATTAGGGGGTCCTAACAGTTATTCCAATTCATGAAGCACACCTACTTATCTTCTTGGATATAAACCAGCAAACTGTCTACTAAAGTAATGAATAGACACCAATTTCATATGTGCTTTTCAGTTTCACATATTGTGTCTGAACAAAAAGTATTTAAAAATTAAGCAACTGTTGAAAGCCAGCCTCATAGTAAATAGCAAAAAGTGGCCTTACTATTTTTTTTACCAGACAGAAGAACAAATAAACCAGGAAATAAATGAGATCAATTTTAAAGGCAATGCACATTTTTATTTTTAATTCAGTATTAAGTATATGAGTTCATACCTCTAGTTTCTTATGTAATTATCTTTCTTCTGGTTGATGGAAAATTCCTCTCACTGTGTTGATGATAAATTATATCAAATGAAGACATTTCATTTTCAATTGAACAGAATAAACCACTGTGATCTGATCGGTACAACCCAAACCCAAACTCTTCATTTAGCCAAAGTATAACGTCAGCATGTGCGCAACACACTTTCATTGTGATGCTGATTTGTGCAATTTACAGGTAGCATGTTGTACAAGTTACTTTCTTTCCAGTTTATTATTTCTGATTGTTCCACAATGAGTCTTACTTTTTCCTTCACTCCTGTTTCTCTCCCTCCCCCAGGTTTTTACCACTGAAGCAAGCATTTAGACGCAATAACAAAAGCATATCTTACTTTGCTTCAGGTAAGCAATTTGGTTTTTTTCTTTACTATTGACTCTGATTCTTATGCAGGTCTGGTAAGGAGTCTTTCAATTCAAGAAAACTTTTTCTAATTTTGGAAGTTTTTAACTTTATCTGTGCCCAAAGATCAACTTTTATTTTCTTTTCAAGTTAGCAGGGGAATTGGGTATCAATTACACTTTAGTGGTCTATGTACCACTATTCAATAAATCCTATCACAGATAATTGACTCCTCTTTTTGTCATAATAACACTGCATTTCTGCCATCTATTCAAATATTTTCCCAATCACCCTGTCGGCTTTGCTGTATATAAAAATCAACATGGACTTCTGGACCTAGAAGTAACATCATCTGCCAAAATGGAATTATTTGCAGGACCGATGAATGACAATACAAATATTCATTATTTTCCACTCCAGTTGCAAATCTGTTCAAATGTTATATAGTTGGAAACGAGGATCAAAAGAATATATATAGCAATAGCATTTATTCTTACATACTGCTTCATAGCACTTTCTGGATGGCTTACAAAGTCCTCATTTTACTGACCTTGGAAGGATAGAAGGCTGACTCAACCTATCTCTCTCTGTGTATGAAAGGTAAATATGAATACATTTAAAAATATTTACTTTTTATGAAAAGGTGTTTATTAGGAAAGGTTATTCAAAACACTAACTGTGGACTTTTTAGCAAAAAAAAAAAAAAAGGCCTGAATAACAATTGATGAGACAGGATGATGTTACCTAGGATCATCTTAGGCAGTATTCAAACAAAATGACTAAGAAATACCTTCAAGATTTCCCCCTGTATTACAAATACTTTGATGGGAAATGAGAGTCAGTTAATTTGGATCTAATAATCTCTGAATAAATATCTTTACCTACTGGTTAAAACTAAGCCCCAACCCTAATAGATTGACCCAGTGGTGGGATTCAATTTTTTTTACTACTGGTTCTGTGGGTGTGGCTTGGTGTGCATGGCAGGGGAAGGATACTGTAAAATCTACAGTCAGAGGTAGTATTTGCTGGTTCTCTGAACTCAAAATTTCTGCTACCGGTTCTCCAGAACTGGTCAGAACCTGCTGAATACCACCTCTGGATTGACCCATCTAACATTGGTAGACAACAATAAATTTGAAAGGTAGAATAATTTCTAGCCACTCTTACAAGAGCAGAGACCAATGTTAACAAAACAAAACAGCAATAGGTTTCCCATCCCTTATTCACATAGTGAAGTCCTCATTTCAGTTCTTACCTGAAAATTCATATTTAGATTTGGCAAGCGGATATTTTCAGATGACTCAGGAAGCAATGGCTTTAGTCCGGTCAGGATGGGCAGCTGGAGATTTTCCCTGTCTGAATGTGTGGAAGCATTGGAAATTCAGACAGTTTCAAACCTTTCTTACTGTTTGAAGGATCTTTTATCATGCTGCACTGTTTTATAAAATAGTTACTGTTATAGCCAAAGAGCAGTGTTCAGAGAATTTTCTCAAAGTTGCACAGGGAAGCATATGAACTGTCCTTCATTGCAGATGATAATTAGAGAATGATAGGAATGGAATATTTCAAGCCAGGGCAAGCAAATGGATGCATTCTGTCTGCTCTGGACTGACATAGCCATAGCAGCTGACACAGTGGTGGGATTCAATTTTTTTTTACTACTGGTTCTATGGGTGTGGCTTGGTGGGAGTGGCAGGGGAAGGATACTGCAAAATCTCCGTTCCCACCCCACTCCTGGGGGAAGGTTACTGCAAAATCCCATTCCCTCCCTACCCCACTGACCTGCTTTCCAGCTCCATTCTCCTGTGCAGGGCAACAGATGAAGACCCAGCCAATCAGCTGGGACTGATCAATGGCAGAGAATCAATGGGGGGCGGGGCCAGTCAGAAGTAGTATTTGCCGGTTCTCCCAACTACTCAAAATGTCTGCTACCGGTTCTCCGGAACTGGTCAGAACCTGATGAATACCACATCTGAGCTGACATTGGCTATGATAGCTGGGTTTATGTAATCCCAATCATCTAGGTGGCACAATGCTATCTTTTCCCAAGACATATTATACATGCCAGGCTCACCTAAAATTATGTGAGCCTTTGTTTTCATAAAGTTACTGACTGACAGTGATTGTCAGTCGGCGCTCCATTCAAAATTCAAGAAAGAAATACTTAGACTCCATAGATTAGAGAAAAGAATTCTTTTACTGAAAATGAAGTGGTAGCATCAGTAGGATTCTGAATCTGAGAAATAAGGCGCGCAAATCACATATACAAAGTGATAGAAATGTTCTGAATATGATCATGTGGACATCTTCGGGTGGTGATGAGGCCTCTGTCCGTTGACCTTGGCATATTTTGATAAAGGTTTGCAGCTGCGCAGAGAAAAGAAAGCTAAGTGAGAAATAGAAACTTAAGCAGGAATTTATACTCCCTCCCACTCCTCATTTACACAACACAAGAATGTAACACCTCCAGCTCTCTTCCCAGACATTATCCCCCCTCCTCCCCCCGTTACTTATGGCAGCCAAAAGATGCAAAGCAGTAGTAGAAGATCTTGAAAGCTGACATTGATCTAATAGGGTCATAAGCAATCCACTGAGTGTTGCTGGAAGCAAAATTGGCTGTTTTCCTCCAAAGAGATCCACCAGACACATCGCTAGAAACTAAAACCATAAGGCTATGTCTGATTTAGTATGGTCATGTCAGGCGTGCAAATTCATCGGAGAAGGCAACAATGCTAGGGATGGTTAGCAGAACAAGAAGACGAGGCAAGCAGAGAACACGTTGGGTTGATAACATCAAATCTGACACAAAGTTGAACGTCCAACAATTGAAGCTGTGCTTGACAAGGGTAGCCTGGAGAACAGCTGCCTATAAAGTCATCAAGAGTCAGACATGATTAAATGGTTAAAGTAACAACAGATCCACAGAGGAATATATACTAACAGAAATGACCAGGTGCAGTCTCCCTTCCTCCTTTTTTTCAGGAAAAAAGAAAACAACCCATTATGAGGGTTTCACTTAATTACTAAACTGAACAAAAGACTAGGGATCTTTTCATCTTTCTAAATCTTTTAAAAACCCTGGTGGAAGCATGGGCTCTTTTTGTAGATGGAAGTCTTCTCTGCATTTCCTGGTTTTCTCATATGACTTCATGACATTGCAAATTCACACACTCATTCCAGGAAGGCTTGGAGAAGGAAGAAGTTTCTCTGCAACAGCTGAGTTTTTAGAGGTTAAGCAAAGCTGGGTTATTTTACACAGTTAAAAAAAATGTAAATATGATTTCCATCTGCTGCCATGGAGTCTGGTGAATCTTCTTTCAGATTCTTTTGCAGAATTCCAGGCAAAGATAACAGACCTACATTAATCCCATTATAAACATAAAGTAGTGTGTCTGATAAATTGGAAGAAGCTTTAGAACTTTAGAGCCAGATGTCATCAGATATGCTAGAAACACACAACTATAAGAGCCGTAGTGGTGGTGCATTGGTTAGAATGCAGTATTGCAGGCTAATTCACTGCTCACTACCAACAGTTCAATTCTCACCTGCTGAAGATTGACTCAGCCTTCCATCCTTCTGAGATTGATAAAATGATGACACAGATTTTGCTAACTCTGTAAACCTCTTAGAGAGGGCTGTAAAGCATTGCAAAGTGGTATATAAGTCTAAGTGCTTACTGCTATTGCTATTTTGTAGGTGGCATTCATAACTTCCCTCTCTTGGTTGTAATGGGAATAATAGTACTTCACTATAGTCCACCTTTCTCTTCACTGCTTCTTATAGGTTTTAAATTATAAGAATATTGTTTGTAACATTATTTCTCTTTTTCTGGTTAACTTTTATTCTTCCTTATAATGTATATATCAAAGAAAGGGTTTCCTATCTGTCTGCTTATATTTGGGATCCAATTTTTATACAGCACTGAAAATGTTTTTTTTTTACTTTGTGTTAGTCATTTATAGCCAAATTTAACATCTCTATTATTTTTAATTCATTATAATTAAATATGATAACACAAATATTTTGATTTATTGTTAGCCACAGTGGTTTTTTAAATAAAAACTAATGCATCGAAGTTGTTCTTATGAAACTGTGTTGTTCAAATTCATCTGTGTGTCTGTCCATATATAAAGTAATTTTATTTTTGGTTAAGTTAACTTTCCGTTCCTTAGGCCAAATATTTTTGAAAAGGCAGAGAAAAATATTTTTACAAAGAATCTCTAAGTAATTGAAGCTCTGTGGTTTGTCAAAATGTGCTTCAATCCTTAATATCATATTTTACTAATGGGAATTGTTCCAAAACCAGTTGTGTGGATGGTTGAAGTATTAGAGTTGTGTCACTACATAATTATGCCTGCATCAGTTATGCCTCCTTTCAGTGCCTGTTGTGGTTAGCTGGCAGCAGGTGTGGATGGCTGAGGAATGCAAGGACTCAGATGAGGGGCCAGGACCATTAGGGATTGGACTGCTGCCTTCAGATATTGTGGGGGCTGGCAGAAGTGATGAGGAAGTTTCCGAGGAGCCTGTGCCAAGTGCATGTGCACACAGGCTTGTGCATAGGAATGAGCAGTTACAACAGCATGGGCGACTCAGGAGTAAGACTGCAAGGTAATGACCCCTCTTTCAAAAAGATAAAGCCAGTTGTGAAACAATGTACTTTGCAGAAGGCAAAGGCATTTTGAAACTACAGCCTCGTGGACATTCCAGTATCCTGAGTTTGTATTTGAAGATTCTTATTTTGCAGATTATTTCCTCGTCTTATCTTTTGGCAAGTCTCACACAGTTTGGCAAGGCTTGTGCTTATTACAGCTAATTATTTTGTAAAAGCATTACAAGGTTTCTGTTCCTTTTGAATTGTGTTTAATTTGTTAGAAAAAGACATTGGTTAGAACAGTGCCATGGGAGAGTTGGAGACAATTTGGAGAGGCACAAAATTTAAAATAAAGACATTTCTTCATTGAGGGTGAAGGTGGCAATCAAAGATTTAATTTCTAAACCATAGAAATTGGAGCCTGCCTTTGTAGAGCTATAGATGAAAAAAATACACCCAAGCTTTCTAACATCATAGTGTGCACCATTGTGTGCCTTGTGATCCTGTTTTAAGCACAGTGGATATGTACTCCATTTGTTGTTATTGCCCACTGAGTGAAAATTATGCTCAGAACAAATATTCCTGCAGCAATGGCCCCACACATCAAAGACTTTCCTACTTGGCAATTGGGGCCTTTGGCTTCTAAGTCACAGTGTTGGGTGAAGAAGAGAGGAAAATGTCTGATGAAATATTTGATTCTTGTCTAAACAATCAGGGAGTTGCACCGATGGTATAATTGTAAATCCCTGGAGAACTTTTTCCTCTTCTTCACTATTTATCCTTTGTCCTTTTCTCCTCATGGGTTTCAGCCTACATATCCTGCTTCCCCAAGCCGCATCTTGTATAGTCAATTGCTGGAAGTGGAGAGGGCTATTCATTTTTAGCCAATGTATACAAACCCACTTGGGGCTAATCCACTGTGTATCAACCAGGCAATTTCTAACATAACAAACTATGATTTAAAGAATTCAAGTTCAGTGCTATGTGTGAAAGGAACCCTTTCTTTCCTTTTGGCCTGTTTATCTTTGGTTCCTTGGTTCAATCCTGAACTCATGGCCTCAGGGACTGAGTCTATTTCTTCTGTATGTTTGCTATTTAGAGAGCTCCTTTGAATTCTGTTGCATGGAATACAGCACAGTGTAACTAGCAGCACTCCAGTATGTCTATTAAATGCTAATGGCAAGCATTTTCCTAGCATTATTACTTTCTAAAATATACTTATCCTCTTTGTTTTCCAGCTTCTCCGTTTATTTCAATACTTTGGATGGCAGCTGATGGTAAAGCCACTGTGAGTATATAATTTTTAACGTTAATGAGAGAAAAGAAATTAATATTATTCATTTAGTGAGAAAGTTATTTGGTGGGGTTATAAAAGCCTTTTCTCTGTTCTTTTTGGCCACTGAAGCATCCAGTAAACTTTCAGGTACCTAAAGGGGATAATGACTTTGACAGGAACATTGTAAATTGTGAAAAATCTGATTTATTTTTTCAGATGAAAACACTTTCTAAAGTGCCACTGCCAGATGATACTTAGATACAGTACTTAGTAAACAATGCATCATGGATGACACTCCAGGATCTGACCATATGGCGAGAATATTTGCAACCCAGCCTTTGGCACTTTTTAGTGCCAAAAGAGATACAGTAGTTTTATTACATACAGAAAAATGACATGGTAGAGTTGTTGCCTTCCTAATAATGGGTCGCATTCTCCTTGTAAAAACACCAGCAGGATCTGCAGCAAAGTTAAAAAAAAAATCAAGATGGTGGCTGTCTCCATGTGATTCAGGCCCCATCCCATTTTAATGTTCATTATATATGCATATGCAAAAAAGCTTCACTCTCACAGTCACAACTACCATTTTGCCACTACACACACACACACACACACCCTACTCCGTTCGCTGAGATAACATGCCAACATCTATGGGAGAATGGTTAATGGGAAGTTTTCTTCCTGAGGTAATAAGTATCTTTGCAGAAAAAATGGGTAAGAATGAACATCTGATGATTTCTACTCCCAAATGGCTGCATTGGTCACTTCTTGATTTGCTTTTTTGAAACAAGATGCAATCTAATGACACCTTCTTGAATTCAGTGTTTGTCTCCCAAAAAGCATCTTCAGCTCTTCTGGCTCCTAGAGGTTAAGATTGTCAGTTTGGCTACCAGTCTTCTTTTCAATAATGTGAAACAATGTAGATTGCTCTTCAGGTAACTAGGTGCATTGCTGTATTATACTGCTGAAAAGAATAATGCACAAATTAGAAGGCTGTATACAAACCATTTTTTTAATACAGGTGAGGCAGATTAGAAGCTTCATGGAAGAGTTTTCTCAAATCCACTTGAAAAAAAAAGCATTGGGCTATATAATTGTCTAGATTTGTCTCTTTCCCAGGCTTAATTTAAAGCAACAAGCCTGAACAAGATGTTGGAATACAGAATTATTCTGATCAGAATTCTAGATGGTCCATTCCATTATCATCTCCTTGGTTTTCATAACTCAACAAACTATGAAATATTTCTCTCTTTCTAAGGTATTTTCCTCTCAAAAAATGTGGGTGTACAGTCCCTCTGGTGCATAGGATATTGTGCATTATTACATAGCATTTGGCTATGTATTAAGCAATTGGCTTAAAAATCCCCACCCAATTTCAGAAATAGAAGACACCAATGGTTGACAAAGGGGCTCCTGGGCCTCTCCTTTGCCATTCTGTCTAACCAGCTCCTCCGTTTACTGGAAAATTGGAAATGCTGATGTAGTCAGGTTCATGGCTGAATTGCTGTTTCATAATGACTATGTCTATACTTGATGGCAGTGAAAATTACAATGGTGTTGTCCTGGCAGTTCACCGTAGGGCCACTTAAGTTGCAGTGATTGGTGGCTGAGTTTTCCCTCCCATTAACATTCTCATTTGCCAGGTGGGAAAAAAAAGAAGCACAAATTGCTATCCCTGGTGGGATGGAGTTCTGCCAGAAGCAATTTTAGGCATGTTGACAGGTCAGTGCCACTTTGTTCTCTCCAGTGGTGGGATTCAATTTTTTTTTTACTCCCAGTTCTGTGGGTGTGGCTTGGTGGGCGTGGCAGGGAAAAGATACTGTAAAATCTCCAGTCAGAGGTAGTATTTGCCAGTTCTGTGAACTACTCAAAATATCCAGTACTGGTTCTTCAGAACTGGTCAGAACCTGCTGAATACCACTTCTGGTACTCTCCCTTGCTCCTGCCAACTGCATGGATCTTCTGCAATGCTTTAGCCATGGAATAGAGTGAACTCAACACATTCCTGCTTACATGGTGGGCCATGGGGTTTGTTATGGGCTGCCAAGCAGGACATGCTCTATGTATTTGGAAACTGGTGAAGACCAAACTTTCCCAAAGGGTCTTTTAGAATGATTGTTCACCAATGGTATGTTTCACTTGGATTCTGTATTAATGTCATTTTATTGATTTTGTTGTAGTGTTTATTTTTAAAGGGTTATTCTTACCAAGGACATATTATGATATATGGCACTGTTGTAAGTTACCTTGAATTTGAAAAGATACAGTGGCATACAAATTTAGCTAACAAAGTTAGAGTCACCCCACTCCCTAATCTTGTGGTGTGGTGTGGGGAGAGAGCACAGACTGAAGCCAGGGAGATATTCCAGGGCACGCTTCAGGTTAACAGGGAAAGTTCCCCTCTTTAGCCAGCTTCAACTCCTATGCTACCTGCAGGGAGGCTGTGCAATGATCTGGGAAGGGATGACTTCATAGAGTAAGACTTTCCCTTTCTGTCACATGATCTGCTTGTCAGTTTCTATTCACCCGGTATGATTGATAGAATGCCAGACATGCTAGTCTCCAGCTTATTCAACAGGAAATGGGCAGATGACAGTCCCCTTTACATAATCATCTTCATCACCGCTAAAGTGCCACAATCATGCAAGTAGTAAGGTTTCTGTTGAGGGAATATGAAAGATACTCATTCCACAATGGGTCAGACAATTAGTAGCAGTTGACTAAGCTTAGGGGATATGAAGAAGACATTGTCATGAGCACCATGTTCTTAAAGAGTGGTTGCAATCCTTGAAGTCTTGGTGTGGTGTGGAATGAAATTATTTATAGCTGTTATGACTTAGAGAGTATCACTAATAAGTTCCAGGAAAAATGTTCAGAAAAAAAAAATCAAACTGCTTCAATTTTCTGAACCTGTTTAAGAAATTTACAAATGTGGCAAATGCTTGCAAGTTGTTGAAATAACTTCATTGCATTTAATTCAATTTCACAATTTTCTTTGACTTCAAATTCACTGTAGAGGATTGTTTTGATCCAGAGATTTGACCGAATCAATTTCAAATGCAATTTCTATGTTGAAGCTTCACAGAACCCTAATCCAGAACATAATATTTTCTGCAAGACTAATTTCAATTGGCAAGGCTAAGGATGGAGACAAAGATTCAGCTAATGCCTTTATTTGTACAAATACGTTGATTAGGAAATCAGGAACAGATTTTTATTTTATTTATTTGATATGTCAATTGCTTACAAGATAATAGGTATAAGTAGAAACATGAGTAAGAATACAGGAAATAGGTACGAATAAATGAGGACAATAGGACAGGGATGGTAGGCATGATGGTGCACTTATGCACATCCCTTACAGACCCCTTAGGAATGGAGTGAGGTCAATAGTGGATAGTTTGAGGTTAAAGGAGTGGGGGTTAGAGGATGTAACAACAGTGCCAGGTAGTGCATTCCAGGCATTGACCACTCTGTTGCTGAAGTCGGACTTTCTGCAATCAAGTTTGTAGCGGTTAACATTGAGTTTGTATCTGTTGTGTGCTCTTGTGTTGTTGCGGTTGAAGCTGAAGTAGTCATTGACTGGTAGGAAATTGTAGCAGATAATTTTGTGTACTATGCTTAAGTCCAACCATAAGCGGCATAGTTCAAGGTTGTCCAAGCCCAAAATTTCAAGCCTGGTGATATAGGGTATTCTGTTACAAACAGAGGAGTGTAGTACTCTTCTTGTGAAATACTTCTGGACTTGCTCAATTGCATTAATGTCCGATATACAATGCGAATTCCAGACTGATGAGCTGTATTTGAGTATTGGTCTAACAAAAGTTTTGTATGCTCTAGTTAGCAATTCAATATTTCCGGAGGAGAATGCTTTGAATGAAGATGCCCTCTTGACACCTGTAATAATGTAGTAAGCGTTGTACAGTCATGAACGTTCTCTTTGGGGCCAGGTATCTGAGAAGCAGATATCAGTCCAACTGAACGAAGACCATAACCTAAGCTTTCCCCCCTCAGTTTAGGGAAGTAATCAGCACCTTCATTACTTTTATCATTGCCTCCCCAAAGAGTGGGAGAAGAACATGCAGTGTGTAACTATTGTGTGCTCTAAGACAGGGGTCGCCAACTTTTTGGGCCTCAGGGATCACCAAACTCATAATTTTAAATCCCAGGGACCACTAACCGGTTCTGTGGGCATGGCCTAATTTGTAGCTGTGGCTTGGTGGTCATGTGACTGGCTGGGCATGGCTTGGATGTAAATATTATAAATATTTATATAAATATTGAATTTTTTTATAAAAAGAGTAACTTTTACCCAAAATCAGGCAAAGCAGGCAGGAAGATTGAGTTGCTCACAGAATCATTCAGTGATCTATCTATCTGCCATCGGCTAGCTTAGTCTCTCAAATTTGCTTGCCATGAGTCTGCACTGAATAATAGAACCTTCAGTCCTAAGGAAGGTTCGGCTGTGTTTAAAAGCAGAGCCAAAGATCTAAAGAATAGCTAGAAAGCAAGAAATCCAGCCATTTCCTGCTTCCTAGCTAATCTAAATCTCCCAACACAGCAGAACAGATGACAATCGGAAAAAGGAAAAATAGCAATTTAGCAGGCAAGTTTGCCATGTAAGGAGTGAGTGGGCAGGGAGGGTTCCTGCGGGCCATGTGGGCTGCACAGCCTTGTGTTTCTGTGCAGCCTGGATTAATTGCTTTGGGGGGATGCTCTGGGGGTGAGATTTCTCTGCAGCCCACCAAAATTTTCTCATGGCCCACCAATGGGCTGCAGCCCACCAGTTGGTGACCACTGCTCTAAGCTGTCTTCTATGTATATGAGCTTAGATAACTAAATTGTCCTAACAGTTTCACTATTACCTGCAAGTTCAAGTTTAAAAAGTAGTGTCATGGGAATTCTGTTTAAGCCCCCTAACATAGAAGTCTTCAAATTTCACTGTATTCTGTCATTTCTGATTTACATAACAGTCTATTTGGTTTGAACTTTGGATCAATCCATCTGCTGGGTCATTTATAGGTTACATAGTCTGGCTACAGTAATAATCATTATTCATTATAGATTGGATTGAAAAGCATTCTACTTGTTGGAAGTGACCTAGAAGTTTCAACTAGTGCAGCACTGATATCAATGTCTTAGATGGTCTATCTAGATGAATCCATGTTATATTATTTCTGAAAGAGCCATATTAGCTGTCTATTTGTATGCCTTTAACAACCAATGGATGAGGCATATGTCTAAAGGAGTCCTTCCTTGCATATAAACCCTGTGCATTGAGATTATCAGGGGAACGTCATCTTTTTATTCTGTCTGTGAAAAGGACAAAAGGATCTCAGCGATTTCTGCAAATTTTGGAGCATCTTCCAAAGAGAGTACATTTGGCATCAACAAAGTGTGTGTGTGTGTGTGTGTTGTGTGTGTTTGACATCGGATGCTCTTTTTAGTGCCAATTCACTTTTATTTTAATACGTTAACAATTTCTGTAACAACAATCTCCCTCAGGTTAAGTACATTCAATTGTTTATTTCAAGTTGTAGATTTTAAGAAATCCCCGAAACTGTGACCTGAACAGTCTATAAATAACTTTTTGAAAAAGAATTCACATAGATCCAGACTAAATTCAAATACATTTTCATGAGGCAACTAAAACTAGGTGAAAGAACAATTTCTGGTTATGATGTTACCAATTTTCTTCTCTGTTGACATCCATGTTGCTTCTGTGACAATGCAGTGTGTTGTTTACTCATCGCCAGGATGATGATGAGAAAGCATTGTGCTTTCGACACAGTCTTTGAGACAGAAATGATGTGATAGTTCCCTAAGGGAGGGGACAGTTCAATTCACATCTGAAACATTTTAATTTACCTTGATTGAGATTAATTTCTAACCTCCCATTCAGTAAAATGAAAGTAACTTTTGTCTTTATAGATCTTATGCAATCTCCAGCATTCCATAAGTGTTTTCAACTTCCCATGTTTTGAAGAGGTTAAGATTCAAAATGGATACCTAAGATATATAAGACACCCTTGAAAACTCTAACTCCTTCTGTTTTTAAGGAGCAAAATGAATCCTTTATTTTTTTAAACTATTTTGCCCCTTAAAATGCCCACAAAATCCAAAAGGGATTGGAATATGTTGGCCCTGTCAATGAGACTGCTCATCTATGTTGCTCACCAGGACAAAAATACTGCTCAAATATTTTGACTGAAGTCATTTGAAATGCCATGGATTAGCTCCATACCCGCATCCTGGGAGAAATAATTCTCTTGCCTCCAGGGGTGGAATTTAAAGTTCTTAACAACAGGTATGTGGGCATGGCCTAATTGTGGGTGTGGCTTGGTGGTCACAAGACTGGCTGGGTGTGGCTTATATTTATATTATAAATATTTATGTAAATATTGAATTTTTTATTAAAAAGATCAACTTTTACCCAAAATCAGGCAAAGCAGGCAGGCACATTGAGTTGCTCCCAGAATCACAGATTCTCTTAGAGATCTATCTATCTGCAATCTGTTTCCTGAGTCTGTACTGAAAAATAGAAGCTTCAGTGCTAAGGAAGGTTCAGCTCTGCTTTTAGATTAGCTAGAAAGCAAGAAATCCAACATTTGCCTGCTTTCTAGCTAATCTAAAGCTCCTGGCACCGCTGACAGTTGGAACAGCTGATGGTTGGGGGGAAAAAAAGGAAAAATAGCAACTTATAAAAAATTAGGCAAAGGCGCAATACAGGCAAGTTGGATGTTGTGCATGGCAGTTTAAGGAGTGAGTGGGCGGGGAGGGGAGAGCCAGTGCTACGATTTGCCAGTTCTCCGAACTGCACAGAATTTTAACAAGCAGTTCTATAGGACTGGTCTGACCAGGTAGAATCCCACCCCTGCCTGCCTCCATTCTAACACTATAATTCTAAGAAAAGATTACACTTTCAGAGAGTTTCTGCATGTCTGCTCAGCTTTTATTTCTTGGTTGATTACAATTCCCTGAAAGTGTACAATTTTTGAAAAGAAAAGAAAGAAAGTAAAACAAATAACTGTAAAACAAAAACAACAGTAATAACAATAGTAGTTAAAATAATAATAAATCCATCTGGAAAAATAATAGTTGATATGCTTAATAAATTTTCTTCAACTGCCTTTAGATTAAAAAGGTCTTCAGCAGATATCAGAAAAGTGTCCAAAAGATTCAGTTCACAGATGGCATAGTGGAGGAAGGAGGAATAACTATTGAACAAGTTCTTCCCTGTGGCCACCCCTTTTGCCTTACTAGGTAGGCATCCATGAAGAAAGATCTCAGATCTTAGGGTCCGGCTAGTGAGAACAAAGCATTCAAGTTTAACATACTTACCTGCATGAATAGTGAAGTCTTTCTCTTGAGCTTCAGTTCAGGCAGACCTGCCTCGAAACCTGCCTTTTAACTTATGAAATGTGCTAGTTGTGGTCTGGAAGGTGTTGATGTTGGCCTTTCTATTTTAAGACTCAAGGAAAATTTTTAGTACTTGAGGCCAGCAAAATCAGATAGATAAGCAGATTGAGTGCCAGTTCTGTCTGAGACAAAAACTCCATAATTTAAATGTGACCAGTGGCCCTTCTCTGTTCCATACTAATTATACCACTAATTGTGGCCTCACCATCAGATCTTAAGCTGTGGTCAAGCTAATATTTCAGAAGGGAGGATTATTTCAGCCCTCATCTTTTTGGACTTTAAATCTCATTATCAATAATAGTGCCCACAAACAAACAAACAAACAGAGTATCTAACAGACCCTTGCTGGATCAGGTAGTATGATCCTGACTTCCACTTTTTCAGCTACATTCTGAACCAATTCCAGTTCCCAAAGATGCAAAGGAAGGCCACCATAGCAAGGCATGACCTTATCAAGAACAGTAGCTGTTCATGCTGAGGTGATCAAGGGCATCTTGGCTACATCTGCCACTCAACTTTCAAGTCCCACATTTCTAGCAAGCTGTAGTATGGGCATGTGACATGTTGCTTAAAGGGCAAATTCAATGTGGGGAGGTGCTTAGTTATGGGGATGAGGCTCCAGGTAAGAATGTATGTTATAATATGAAATATCAGCTGTAGACTAAAGAGACACAGTTGGGAAATGGCTCTGTGGATATAAAAGAATTTAAAGGCAGTAGTAAAGTAAGAGTTGGCATAGCACACACATGAGAATGGGAAATGGTTTGGGTATGGATAGGTGTTGTGAGAGGAAACTCAAAAGGGACAATGGGTTCGGAAGAAGGCAAGTTATTCTTGCAAGACATTCCAGGAATCTCTTGCCCTAATGGAAGACCACTGAATATCAAACCCAAGTATAGCTATGTGATGCTTTTCGAAGCCTTTATCTTTGTGAAGACGATTTTGCCTTTTTCCTTGATTTTTTAAATCAACATTATTGAAATTTTAGGAATTTAACCCAGAGACAAGTTGTGCTCTTTCCCAAGTTATAACCCACAGTGCATATAATGAACAAAAATATCACAACTAAAATGTGTTATGTTATGGAGAAATAGTTGTGAACTATCACAAGTAAAATGTGTTATGTTATGGAGAAATTTAAAAATTCAATAAGACAAAGTGTGGTGAATTGAGATACTAAAGCGAAGCATAACACCCTTTATTGCCAGGGTTGAACAAAGAACGTACAACTTTGCATACTTACATTGATTAAATATGTGAATGACCAGCTATGTGACACACCAATGGGTAAAACTTCATTCCGGTTCAAAATCTACAAATACATGACCACGGTAACCACACTACTTCCACTAGAGGTGATTCATATGTTTAACTGCTAGTCCTCAAGGAAGGATTCACTGTGTGATGTTTGTCAGTTGAACCCGCTCCAAACTCGATTGCAGAAGATAAGACTTCAGCAACAGAGTGGTCAACGCCTGGAACGCCCTACCCAACTCCGTTGTTACAGACTCAACCCTTCACAGCTTCAACCTCAAACTGTCTACCATGGCCCTTCCCCCATTCCTAAGAGGTCCTTAAAGGGGGTGTGCATAAGCGCACCAGCATGCCTACCATCCCTGTCTTACTGTCGCCATTTATCTGTATTTACTTCCTTTGTTCTTGTTTATGTTCACACTTATACTTGTTATCTTGTACATGTTTGACAAACAAACGAATAAATGAATAAATAAAATAAATAAACCTTCACATTTATGTCTCATCGATTTCAGTAGGATTACCTTGGCTGTGTTGTGGTACGAACTGGTGATAAAAATATAGGTTGAATCTCTCCTTCCCCTGATTCTCTGCCATGGGAATGGCTGCCGAGTAATACAAAGATAGGTGGTGGTTATGCCATGTGGGGTGTTCAGGTTTTCATACCTTACATACCACCGAGTCCTTGTTTTCACTGTGTTTTCTTTTACCCCTTGAATATTAGGGACCGATATAAAGCTGCAAAGCTTCATTTTTCAGATGGTTGCTTTTGGTTTGTGTTCCTGTATCTAGCCACCCTTACACAGACTAGCTTGCTGCAGGTGTGAAACAGGAAGCCACACTGAAAAAGAGAGAGAAAAGCGCAGTACTTTTTCTCTAGGAGCTCCACATGAATCAATTTTAATTAGAGCATGTTATGCTTCAGCTCCTGGCTTTCCCATTTGCTGTGTGGAGAGCCTGTTTGAAAGATTGCATTCTATAGCAAGCTCTACCTTCATCTCTTCTTCTTCTTCCTCCTCCTCCTCCTTTTCTGTCTTCTGCAAATGTTACAACACCAATTGAAATTTCCTCTTTTCTTTCTTTTCTGCGTGCCTTGCAGATCCCTTTGCGTCAGAAGACAAGGAAGAAAAATCAAGGTACTGAGTCTGCTTTGTTCCTCTTTTTGTTTATGAAACTGAGGGCTTTTCAAATTAGCTTGTGATAGTGCTGGTGGCGGCTGCTGTCTCGTACTCTGTTCAGTTTTGGGTTTGACTGACAGTGGAAAACAATGACATGCTCTTCATTTGGACTAAACTGCTTTGGTATGTCAATAATGGTGTCTGTGTGTGTATCTGCATTTGTGTGTGTGTGAAACAAGACAAATGTCTTATCAGCTGTGACAAATAATTTTGAGCAAATCAGCTTCGAAGGATATTTTAGCCATATTATTAATACTTGCTGGAGAGATCTCTAAGAGTAAAAACTAGCAGCTGATTTTCATTGGAAATGTATTTTCATTGTGAGGGATTTTTCCTGAAAGCATCACTTTCACTAATTTAACTTTGTGGACTGTTCATACCCTGAAAATCCCAGTGTGCATTTAAAAGTAAATATAGTACTCTGCTTGTTGTTGTTTTTTTCAAAAAGTGATATTTACTTCTAATTACATAGGTTTTCACAGCATGAGTCGCCGAAGGATCTCATGTAAGGATCTTGGATTGGCTGATTGTCAGGGTTGGCTGTATAAAAAAAAGGAAAAAGGAGGCTTTATTGGCAACAAATGGAAAAAGTTTTGGTGTGTCCTGAAGGCTTCGTCTTTATACTGGTACAGCTATCAGCTGGTAAGAATGTCAATCTCTTCATTTCTATAGATAAATCAAAATAGAATCTTACTTCCCTACAATGAAATCCTGCCTAAAATTCAAATTGTAGGTGTGTGTGTGTTTGTGTGTGTTTGTATCTGGTGCATTTTGGTGTCATATATGAGGTAATTCAACAATGGTGGGAAAGACACTGTTTTCTGACAGGAATAATTGTTTGTTTTTGATGAAAAATATTTAAGTAAAGCATATCTCATGAGGGAAGTTTGGGGCTTGTAAAAAGAGAACATATTTATTTCCCACTTGTGTGCAATCAAGCCTATCCACATTCTTTTTTCACCCAGTTTGTAAGGTAGGAAAGGGAAAATGTTATGACTGGAGTATGTTAGAATGACTATTCTTCCCCTCTACCCCTCTATGAGGCTAGCACCAACCCTGCTGGTCTTCTGGAAGGCCTTGAACTATGGTTTGGGAACTGGGTTGGGTGTAACATGATAGTGGAACTTGTTTGATGCTATGTATGACAATTAATGGAAATCATCTTGGGAGGTTTTACTGCTATTTTGTTTTTTTAAATTGGTTTCACCTTGTTTTTTAACATTCAGATTAGTTGTTTTAATGTTTTTATATACATTTAGATTATTATTTTGAATATTGTGCAAAATCACTATGTGGGACGGTCGGCAATATCAATGTGATTGAATCAGTCAACAAATGAAAGCTGTGTGTGTTCTCTTTGCCTAACTGTTCTCACTAGCTTGATGCAAGTGAATTTATAGATCGACAATCCAAGCAATCTCTTTATTGGATATAAGTGTTTATGTCCTACTTTTCTTACACCCATGTACAATTCACAGATGTCCTTTCCATTACAGCAGTATGGTTCCAAGATGGCATTTTCTAAATAATTTGAATGTGTCCTTCATTTTTTAGAAAGTTACACAGATAAATTAGTGTCAGCAAAGCACAATATAAATAGTTTCTGTTTCTATTATTGTTATTATGCCAACTGGTCTTTATCTGTCTTTTCCACTCTTGTGGTCTCCATGTTACAATACCTATAATTTGTAGTCACTGCCCTATTTGAAGATTGTAGGACTTGTGTTTGAATATGGATTTTTTTTTTTTTACTAATACTGTGTTCATAAAGGTAATCTGGCATAACATTAAAAAAAAAATAAACTAGGGGGTTACTAAATTTCTGTGCTTATGGTAACAGGACAAAGTACTATTCCCCCAAAGTATGATTCATTTGAGACTCCAGGATGATACTAGAATTATGGATCAATTTAAATATTGGGATTCTAATCCAATTTGAATACAGAACCAGTTCTTGTTGTCTTCTGGGAGTCCAGTAGTCAAGATGCTACTGTTGGTTTGATATTTTAAAAAAATAAATCTGACATCAGTATCTCTTTGATCCACTGTAAACTTTGGTAACTGTGGAGTCCTTGGTGCTCTCTTGGATATTTTCTTGAAGAGATTTTGTTATCGGACTAGACAACATCTTTAGTCCTAGAGGTTTAGTGCTAGAAGTTCTCCTTCATTAAGAAGTTTGTTCTAAGAGAATCCTACTCTTAAATCTATGTATATAACAGTATTTTAGTGATATCCTGTTAAATGATAGCATGGATAGTGTGCATCAAGATTTTGGAGAGAAGTGTGTCCTGATTAGGTTTGAAGATATGAAAAGCTGAATTAGGGTTTATTACTGGCTTCCTCTTGCTTTTTGTTTTAACTGTGTTGTTAAACAGATAGTTTCGATTTTGGTTCACCAGTGCCTCTGAAATTTTACTGAAAAGAAGAATAGAAAAACATTATATAGACAAAATTAACAAGAATTATTTTAAGCCTGATTCTAAAATAGTTGAAGATATTCATGGAGAAAGCTACGCAACGTTGATTAACATGATTTGTTTGTTAAAAAATGAAATTATGGTCTTCATTACTGATTGCTCAATTTTGTTGATTCCTGTGTTATTCTTGGATAGGAGAATATATATGTATGGTATTCAGCTTTGCTCGGGTATTTTCCCACGTCATTATAGTTGTGCTTTTAAAGTTGTAGCAACGTTTCGGCAGAATCTCATCTGCCATCATCAGGCTTCTGTATTTAAAAGCACAACTATAATGACGTGGGAAAATACCCGAACAAAGCTGAATACCATACATATAAATACCTGCAAAAACTTAAGAAAAAAAAAATATATATATGGTATTCAGCTTTGTTCGGGTATCTGATGAACACAATACAGAAGCCTGATGATGGCAGATGAGATTCTGCCGAAACGTTGCTACAACTTTAAAAGCACAACTATAATGACTGTGGGAAAATACCCAAACAAAGCTGAATACTATACATGTAAGTACCTGTGAAAACTTAAGAAAACACACACACACACATATATATATGCCAGTGCAAGCAAACTGCTTGCACTGGAACGAAGCCAAAAGCACCAGCCTGAGGATGGCGAGTGGGACCTCACCGAGACGTCGCCAAGATACTCTTAATCTTACACAGGAAAAGACCTGAACACACCTAGACCTACATATCTGTACCTGTGAAAATCTACAAAAACATTATCTATCTATCTATCTATCTATCTATCTATCTATCTATCTATCTATCATCTATCTATGCATTTACCAGCTATTTCTATTGAAAACCTAGAGTGAATTAGTGTATTATAATATATTTAGGGTTTGCTATTAAGATTCAGACTATAGCAAGTCTTATGAACGATCAACACTTCTGAAAGTATCTTGCTGTTTTCTGTCCATAGTTTTGTTCCTTATAATCCTTTGGGATTTGATTTGTCACCATTGTCATGACATATCATGTCATCAACCATCAAACTACGATTATTATTCCAATGGCTATATGCTAACACAGTGATTCTCAACCTGTGGTCTGTAGACCCTGTGGGGCCACGATGTCATCAAAGGTGTCCACAAAGACTTGAAAAAATGTTATGATTTAAATCTTGAGTTAAATCTTGGTGGTCTGTTGCCACAAAAGGTATTTAAAGGGGGTCCATGGTGAAGAAAATGTTGGGAATCACTGTACAACCACTAGCATATAGTCCTCCCCATCCACATCTTTCTGAACTACCATTCCCTGCAGACTCTGCTTTCATTTCTAATTCCTGAATGTTTTTCATTTCTAATTCCCGAGAGTTCCAATTCTTGAGAAAGTCCTGCTCACCAATATTTAGAGAGCTACAGACTCTTCACATCTCATGTGACTAATGGGATGATATTGATTTCCACCTTATGACTCCCAGTGGTATCTTCCAGACCATTGTGGGAAAAGAATGCTGGACATGGCTGGACCTGGTAGGCCTTTGTTTTAGTCTAGCATGGCTTTTCTTGTATTTTCATTGTAATGTAGCCAAAATGATAAGAAGAACTCCATCTGCTCTATGTTTTTTCTCAATTTATTTATTTATTTATTATCCCATCTTTATTATTCTTTTTTATAAATAATTCAGCACACACGATACTCCTTCCTAATCCTATTTTGTCCACAATAATCCTGTGAGATGATTTGGAAAGAGAGTGACTGGCCCATAGTCACATGTAATCAGACAGGGCTCCAGAATATTTTGCAAGCAACAGAATAGTTCCATGATTGCCATTAATAGTGGGGAAGAAATGTATGAATTTCAGAAATTTATAATACAGCTGTCGATTTGGTTACAGAAACTGTATGATTTATTCATTACCTGTATTTCTAAACTGCCCTATCCCTCACAACTCAGGCCATTTGTTAAATATATGATACAATTAATAGGCTGAAAGTATAGAATATTTTGTGCTAATATAGCATAGCAGATTGGTTTCTGAATATGATAAGAGAGGTACATGCTGGAACTAAACCACGAGTGAGGATAAACAGAATGTGTATATTCAACATCAAACAGAATATGACCACTTGGTTGTTTAAAGAATTGATCTATAAACATATCAAGATGTTTTGGTGATATTACAGACTTTTTGGCAAAGTACATGAATGTACATTTTTGTATGAAGGTAACACCATGTTGTTGATTGAAAACCTGAAAGATTTTCAGTGAATATTAAGTTGTATGATGCAAAAAGAAATATGGATCTGAAAATGAATATATCAAAGGCAAACATATTTGTAGCTGACAGGAAAAATGGGGTGAATGATTGCATGTTATACTTAAATAAAATATAAACATATACTTTTGTACCGCAGCAGATTGTTTATTAAAGAGGTAAAAATTAAAGGGAAAATGTTTGGATGGGCAAATGTTAGTAGAATGGTGGTGGATAATATATAATATATGTAGTCTGTTCTGAGAAATTATTATCGTCAAATGAAAATGTCTGTGTATAAGAACATGATTTTGCTCAGCTTGTTACAAAACATGAGAGCTAGGTACGTCAAAAGAAATATAAAGAGTAAACTGAATGGAGAGGGTAGTGTCTGTGGTAAACCATGAAGAAAACAGAAGATGGACGAGTGCTGAATTATATAGACTGAATATAAAATGACTAACAGGTATATAAAAAAGATACATTGCAGTGAGTTGTTCTATAGACAGAATGAACATGGACTGGACTGAAAAGCAAATGCATGAAGAAAATGGAATGAACTGAGAAGAGAGGAAAGTGGAATTGGATGGAGTTGATGAATTTACAGAAGTGAGGAATTTAAAGGTCAAAAGGCAGTGCCTGAAGCAATACGTAGATGTGATAGGAACAGGGACTGTCTGAAGAGAGGAAAAGTGTGGAGAATTATAATGAATATTATTAATTTGTAAACTATTTCTTTCCTCCCTCCCTTTTATTATTTCTTATCTCTTTCCTGTCCCAAATATGCTTTTTCTTCCCCAAGAGGCCACTGGACTTTCTGTTTTTTCTTTGAAGATGTTTTGCTACTCATCCAAGAAGCTTCTTCAGAGCTAAAGAAGCTTCTTGGATGAGAAGTGAAATGTCTTCAAAGAAAACCCAGAAAGTCCAATTGCCTCTTGAAAAAAAGCACCTTTGGGACA